GGAAAAGAGAGAGATTCCAGCATGTTGATTGATGAATTTAGCTGAAAATAAAAAAATAAATTTTAAGTTTATTAATTGTTTAATCATTTTATTTAACCAATAACAGGAATAGATGTAAGTTTAATGTAAAGTTATTTCCTTTGTTTACAGTTCCACTCTCATTTCAGCAGGGGGCGGGAATGAACCTACGATATTCAAGAAGCAGCGGAAGGAAGGAAGAAAGGAAAGAAGGAGGAAGTAAAACATCACATTGTTTTCTTCGTCTCTTATATCTCCTTCTGTAAGTTTCATGTGCGGCTGTTAGTGATCTGTGTATTGTATGAAAGGCTGCTCATGTTCACTGGTTATATTAGTTAATAGTTCAACCAGGTGTTTATTCTGTAACTAGTGCTTGAACACTGTTGTGTTTAATGTTTCGTGTGAGCTCCAACAGCTCGGCCTCTCCCTCAGGATGGACTGCTACTCTTCCTCCGATCCAGCTGCAGTGAACGCCTCCCTGCTGTTTGATCTGAACAACGATGAAGAGAACCTCTGGATCAGAACCAGCCAGAACCTCTCTCCCTGTCCCCCCCCCCCTCCTGACTCCCAGTGCATTGTGTGTCTGGAGGACAGGGTGTACGTCGTGTGCCGTACGCTGGCAGACGGAGTTAAACTGACGATGGAGACCGAAACTCAGCAGGTCAACATCTTTAAGAGCGGTGAGAAGATCACAGATTGATGCTCAGTTTCATCCTGATACAGTTTGAAATGTTATCATTGATCTGAGATATGAAGTCATTGTTTTATTATTAATAATAGTTCTGTAAGATCTGAGCAGCAGATTGACTGTGGTTGTGGTTTCTTTACAGTTTGTCCAGAACTTCCCTCTGATGGTGAGTGTCTCTGAAGAACTGTTAACTGCCTCCAGACATCCAGAATAATTGTTCTCCCTAGTCCCAACGTGTCAGACCTCAACAGCATCACATCAGAGCAGCGACTGACAGATACAGATCAGCGGCCTGTAGACGAGCCGCTGTAACGTTACTCCACTAAACAAGAACAGAAGATATTCCTTTAAAGGCCCACAGTGGGGACATTTAAATCTTACAGCAGCAAAGTGGATAGAGGAAAAACAGTATGAAAACTATAATATAATATAATATAATATAATATAATATAAACGGTGTACAAGAGAAGAAACAGTAAAAAACAGATAACACAAGAACACAAACACTAGCAGCAGTTGCAGCATGGGCAATAGATTGCACAGTAATGATTGCACATTGTTATTGACAAGATTATTATTGTTGTTGCCGAGATGTGGGGGGGGAACAGCTGAATAATGTATTTATATTAATGTAGTAGTAATAATAATAATAATAATAATAATAATAAAAATAACACTAATAGCAGACTGTCTGTGGTTGAGTGTAACTGTCTCTTTACAGTTGGTCCAGAACTTACAGATCATACATTTACTGTTTATTGAACTGTCTATCTGTCTGTCTGTCTGTCACAGGCGCTCCACAGTGGCTGCTGCTGTCATCCTCACGCTTCATCCTCCTCCTCCTCTCTTGGTGGTGTAATTGCTGCTATGTAGCGCTGTCGATTCGGCCCCGCGCCCGCCGCCCCCCTCGCCCCGTGGCGTGCTCCCACTGCAGTGTGTGTGAACGTTGATGATCAGCACATTTATTGATCTGTGGAATCGCTGGCAGCAGACTGAAGCTCCTTTAGAGCCTCCTCACTGATATTAATGTGACTGCCAACAACAGGAATACAATGTTCTTTATTTGATATCATAGTTATAATGTGGACGGGAGATAAAAACACTCTCTGTTCTTTCTCTTGATGTTTTCACTCTTTTACTTTTTCCTACTAATCTATAAAGATGAATGAATGTGATCAGAAATGTATCTTTAGAAATCAAACAACCTCAGAAGGACAGTGAATTATGAGCTGTAAAGAAACAACAGATTATATATTTGTGTTCAGGTTGTAGTCGACTGTAGAAACTCTTGTTTGACTGAATCTCTGACGTGCACCGACACTCGCTACCTGCTGCGTCAACACATGAAGAAAACCCCTGCACTGACGATGAGTTCAATGACTCTGTGAACGATAGGTTCAGGGTCTCCGTTCAGCTCAGTACAGATGATGAAGTTGTGATCTGTCTGGATTTCATGAAGAGGTTAAAATGTGTTTGTGGAAGCAGCTTCACTCGACCTCTGACCCTGCAGATAAACTTTATGATTGATTGTAAACATGAAGCTCTCCTGTGTTTACAGAGTCAACTCCGGACAAAGACGGATCGTCTGAGACATCGTGAAAGACGACGTTCTGTCTCTGAGGAATCTTTTCAGTGTTACTGTCTTTTAAAATATGACGAGTCCTTCAGAACGAGTTGATCTGCTCCAGGTTGCACAGAGTCGGGACGTTAGTCGGGTTAATGGAGTTGGATCGTTATCAGCTCAATGAAATAGAAAGAACTTTGTGCAATACTGTTTACTATGCTGCACTTTTCTCTAGTTAACTTTATATTCATAGTTATTTTCTGCTGCCGCTGCCATATATTTATATTC